GTTATTTTCATTTTTATCTATTTTAGTACGTTGAAATTTTTATATTTGATAAGAAGATTAGATTTTTTATAATTAGATGTGATATTTGTGAGATAAAAAATAAAATGATTATGAATTTGATGTTACATTTTGTCTTATTGATTATTTTAGTTTTTTTTGTCTTTTTGTAAATTTTAGTATAAAAAAAAGCCCAAATTTGACTTCCCAAACAGTGCCATAGGCTGGATTTCTGCATTAAAGTGTTGCGTAGTGAGAAACCTAAGAGAAACATCCAAACAATCCCCGATTTTATTCCCAACTTGTACAATGAAATTTGGAAAAAAAAAAAAAAAAACTGAAGTTGGTCTGGGTCTCGAATTTAATTTGAGAAAAAAAATTGAAATTAATGGACGTTGCAATCTCGAATTAATAGCGTAAACTCAAGCTCGCTAGAGATTGAGTAGAGGAAACCATAATTGATTCCTGTTGCATATATAAAAACAAAAGCAAATCAACAAAATATAAATAAATAAATAAATGAAAGAAAAAGGAACAATATATAATACTTACAAATAAAATAATAGAAGAAATATTTATGAATAAAACAATGAATACATTCATGTACATATAAAATAGAATAGGGTAAGATCAGGGCTGAGCAAGGAATTCGTTAAATTCGTAATCCGATCCAGTCCAGTCCAATTCGATAGGTTTGGATTAGTTTTTTGAATCCGCGGTTCAGTTCCGGATTGAAGAATTAAAAATCCGTAGTCCACGGATTGGTTCCGGATTGAACCCCACGGTTCCGGATTGGAACCGATCCGGACCGTATATTTTTATTATACATCCTCCCACATAGTATCTTCTCTTATTCTATATAAAATCTAAACTCAAACCTAAAACCGTATAATATCTAATTTTATTACTTTTGTTTGTATTTTCTTTTGGTTGTTTAAATTCAAGAACAGTATGTCACTATTATAGAAAAACATGTTGCTATTATGGAACTAATATAGCGTTATGTTTATATTTTTATGAAATTAAAGTGTTATATATATATATATATATATATATTATTGTTATTTAATTATGTGAATCCGTGGTCCTAAACCGATCCAATCCGTATTTAAATGGATTAGTTCGGATTAGTTCCATGATTTAAACGGATTGGATTGGTTCCAATTTTTCAGGAACCATAGATAACGGATTGGTCCTAATTTTACCCCAATCTGGTCCAATCCAGACCATGCTCACCCCTAGGTAAGATGTTAAACAACTTGGCTAATATTTTCAACTTAAACAACCATTTCTAAGATAAACTAATCGTTGTGGATTTGGCGCTAAAAGGCCAAATTAGCATCGCGTGGTTCCTTCTTGAAATTATTCTAAGCCTTTGTTTTCTAGAATGAATCTTTCATCCAAAAGAAAAAAAAGTATGAGGCCAATGGGTCACGATTAATTATTTATATATTTAAACTGTGTTTGACTATTGAAATTATGGAAGTATTTGTAAAGACACACACACAACAAAAAAAAAAAAAAAAAAAATGAGGGTTTAAAAAAAAAAAAAAAAAGAAGAAGAAGAAGAAGAAGAAGAAGAAGAAATGAAAAACTGGTAGTGTTATCATTTTCTGTTTCAATTTTGAGGAATATATGAGAAACTTGTTTAAAGAATTATTTTTAAAAAAAAAAAACCAAATTTTTAGAATTACTCAAAAAGTTGATTTCCACTTATCATGTTTAATATATTTTTATTGATATAACTGTGAAAAAGGAAAAATAATAAAATTACCATTTTTTTTATTTAATAGATAAGAGAGTAATTGCAATCATGAAAAATATTTACATAATCAAATAGACCACTGCTTCATAATAATTAGAAAGTCTAACAATCAATAAATAACCGCAGCCACCAAGTCCAACAACTGATCCATCAAGCCCAAATCCAACAACTACAAACAATCAACCCCCATTATAGAGGAGGAATAAACCACCACACCACAAAAGGTATTAAACTCTTCTCCATAGGATTTGAATTCGAAAGCTCACACCATAAAAGATGCTATATAATCATTAGGCCAAATTTCCTTACTGTAATTACAACCATTTCAAGGTAATCCATTCTATGTCTTGGCACATGCATAGTGTATTAACGGTGATGAAAGAGTTCACTATTGTACATTTTAGGTCCACATATAGTCTAGCCAGCATCATATACATCCATACGTGCGGTCTAAACGGAAATACCTACTGTTCAAGGTACTAGTTAAAAACTTTAAACTTTGTTTCAGTGTGTTCCTCCAAAAAATCTTGCTTGGGTGATCTCTGGAACTAGACGGAATCAAGCCATAGAAGTTATTTTTGGACGGTGTCAGCCATTTAATCATGTATGGATAATCATGGACTCACAAACAATTAGGGATTGAAATTTACATTTTTAACATTAGGTACGATTTGTCTAAACTTGAAAAGTTTATATATATTGTCGTTCGAAAGGCTAGGCAAAAAGAGTTGAACCTGAGACGTTAGGATAAATATAAAGGAAAAACCAGACAAATAATGAGGAAATTGCACTTTAGTGCAAGTTTTTAAGAAAATTACAAATCAGCAAAAAAAAATTATCAATTTTAATAATTAAAATTATAAGTTTTTCTTTGAATTTATAAATATTTTATAGAAATACCACTGATTTGCATTTTGCCCACAAATAATAAGCTTAGGGATGAGAAGAGAATATTGTAAGGGGAATTACATCCCAATAAAGCAAAAATATATAAATTAAAGGGGAGCAACTCCCACAATTTTTAAGTCACATCTCACCATACAAGGAGTTGCACCTACGTTTTATAAATCATAAATTTCTTTTTGATCTTCAAGCCTGCATTGTTATTTTTGCAGTATAGAGTTATTTTCAAAAATTGATTAAAAGTTAATTTTTTGATTTATTTTGAAAAAAATATGTAAAAAAATAAAGAAATAATATAACCTAAAATAGATTAAAATTTAAATTTAACTTTTAATCATCTTTCTAAATTAGTTCATAATAAGGTGTCAAAAAGTCTTGTGATTATATTATTGGTTATCTTTCTTTCTGTGCCACTAGAAAACAGGAGAGGTTTATGAGGCTTTTGTTGTGGTATGGTATGTATTGTATTGTAAGACCAAAACAAAGATAGAGACACACACAATACATGCATTCACAAAATCTCCAAAATTTCATCTACTCTTTGTCGAGGGTACAAATTTTGTGAAGGAAATTAAATAATTTTTAAAAAATTAAAATTATAATATGTATTTCATATGTTTTTATACAATTTTTAAATATTTTAGGTTGAGTTTGGTAATTATCTTTTAGCAACTTTTTATTGACATTTTTTTTTTAAATATTTTTTTTTCAATTAAAAAAAATCCTTTTAAAACCTACTTGACTAGACAGACCCGAGACAAGTTTAGACAAAAATTCTAAAAAAAATTAACTTTTTAATTTTTTTTATCTTTATTTTTAGTGAACATTTTTGGATTTTTTTAAAAAGAAAAAAAAATAACTTTTTAGATCATTCTAAACTGAATGGACCTAAAAAGTAAAAACTTTAAATGCAAATTTAAAAGAATTTCACTTAACACAAGAAATATGAAAAAAGTGAAATTCTAATTTTACGAACAACATTATAATTTTTAAAAAACAAATAACACAGAGCACATATAATAAATATGTAGAAATTGAGAAAATAAAATAATATAAAAATAAAGAAGACGGAGGGGCAAGCACAGCTGGCACATGGCATTTTCCAAAGTTTTGGTGGGGCGTTGTAGGACCACCTGATTGTTGCCACATAATATTGTCTTGTGGCTGTAGCACGGGGTGCTCTTTTTACACTAGTCAATGTTTATCTCATAAATTAGCCTCCGTTTCACGTGTCTTTTTTGAATTTTTCTATTAAAATAATTATAAAAAAATAAAATAAGTTAAATAGTTAATAAGATAAAATATTATATTTAAATTATAATTATTTTTTTTTTCTCACACAAGTTAAAAAAGTTAAAAAAACTTATCTCAAATAAAAATTTTTAACCCCAAACTAAAAAAAGTCAAAAGTCAAAAAATCAACCCACATTACAAACAAAACATTAATTTTTAAACAAAACCATTTAACTCATCTGCATATCTGATTCAAAAATTAATTTTTAAATAAAAAAAGTTTTGTTTAAAAATCAATATCTAGTTTAAAAATTATATATATGAACCGAAATGATATGTAAAAGTAGAAATAACCTCAACTTCATTCTATTTTGACTGTCTTTGTTTCTTCAAATAATTTGGCTATAGATAACCCCAAAATGAGGTATACTAGTGTAGTAGGGACTACACAAGAAAACAATGACAAAATGTAGTAGGGACTACATATGAAAATCCAAAGGACACACATAATGGATGTAGTGATTAACCCACATTAGTCATGCTTAATCACTTGTTTTATTATGATGATTTAAATTAGGATAAATTACAAATACGTCTACTGAGATTTACTTAAATTACAAATTATCCCTAGTAGTTCTAGAAATTATATTATGTTCTTAAGCTTTTTAATTTCATAACAAATATGTCCTTTTATTAATAAATCATCAAGTTAATTAACAATTTTTAATAATGTTAAAATTTTATTTCAATTAATAATTTAAATAATTTTATTATTGTACAGGTGCAGTTAGAAATTTCACTTTTTCAATAAAAATTTTGATAGGAAGGTATTTGTAATTTTCCAAACTATAGATGACAATTTATATTTTAAACAAATTTCAAGAAGTGTATTTGTTATTTACATAAATTTTCAGTACATATTGTAATGTAAAGCTCCGGTTTCATTCATCTGAAACAGTTCAAAAACTAGGTAGGAGCCAAAACCTAGTCATCTTTCAGAAATATATATATATATATATATATATATATATAAAAACAATATATAACTGTGGAATATTAAAAAATTGAACCCTATATTCGAAATCTCGTAATGTACCTATCATTTAAACAAGAGCAATCACCAAAACTATATATTCATTTGAGAAACTTTATGATTCATTCTGAATTTCAAAGGGCTAACTAGCCATAAAACTTTAATGTGACTTGCTTGAAGAAACGAAGATTAAATGGGTGTCGAACCCGTGGCTTGGTTTTGTAACCACCAGGTTCGAACCCAGCTTACAATCAATCAACAATAGTCCAAGTCATGTCATTTTCAAAGATCCAATGACACACCTCAATTTTGCCTGGACCCGAACCCAGAGCCAAGAAAGCTCCATGACCCGCACTCCACGAGGACGTATCCAAGTGACAGATGGCAACTCCATGATTGATCTTGGCCTTCGATATTGGATCCAATAGATCCGCTTCATATACCCGAACCTTGGGAACCGAGTGGCAGTAATACAGTAAGTAAGGGAACAAGCTTTGATGACAAGAAACGGACTCGGTGACTTTCCCGCCCTTGGTTCCTTTGACCGACCCGATCATCACATTTTGCATTGACCCATCGGTGTTTTGGGTGGTCCGAACCGCTACGTTCCGACCTAAGACCGAGATGACAAAATCGATCAAGTCCTCGGCCGAGCCCACGCATTGCTTGGTCTCGCCCGGGCTTGGCACCCGCTCGCACTCGCTCAACGTGTCCGCGAGTATAGTCTCCATGGTCGAGTTCTCATTCGCATGAAAGATTTGCTTCAAGTCAGAGAGCTTCGATGTCGAAAACGGTAATTTAGTCGAAATCACCCTGGGCAAAAACGACCTTTTCGGCATTTTATCACGAATGTCCGGCATTGGCATCACAGTCCCAACCTTCATCATCTTCTCCCTGAAAAATTTACCCGGCTCCACCCATCTATTTACGAATTTGCCACTGTCCACCATTGATGATCCAGCAGAGCTCTCATTGAGATATCTAGCAAACGAGACACCCTTTTTCTTATCATAATCTGCGAATGTATTGTTGACTCCGTAGGTTTCGAACCCAATTTTCTGACCCGACCCGCCTTTTCCATACCCATTGAACTTGTCTGTACCTTGGTTGAACGATTGTCCATAGTTCATAAATTTCGCAGCTCCTGAATTAGAGTTCTTCGCATACGATTGAAACGAATCATCACCGACATTCGATTTCTCTCTGTAATTCATGAACTCGTCATTGGCGGCATTACCACCATCACCATAGTTCTTGAAATTGTTCTCAGGTACATTCCCATCAGACCCATAATTCGCGAACGAATCGTTGGCGCTATTCGCAGACTGTCCATACCCATTGAAGCTCGAACCCATCACATTCGAGTCCTTCCCGTACCCACTGAACCCATTTCCAGCTCCATTACCGTCCTTCCCGTAGCTCCAAAACGATTCAGACCCGGAATTGGTGTCGTCGGAATACGAATCAAACGACTCTTTCCGGCCATTTCCGGCGGCGGAATAGGAAGTGAATTGGAGATTCGGGATGTTAACAAACTGGTTGTAGTTCGTGAACTCGCCGGTGCCGCCTGTTGCAGCGGCGCCGTAGGTGTTGAACTTCTGATCGACGACGTTGGCATCAGGAGCATAATTGGAAAACTTCAAATCGTGTCCCGCCGAGTCACGGCCGTAGCGCCGGAACGAGTCGACTGGGAGGTTATCGCCGTCGGAGTAGTTCTTGAACGAGTCGACTCCGCCGGGTTGACTCGTCCCGTAATTGGTGAAGTTCTTGTTGAGGTAGACGGCGAAGTTAACGGCGTCATCGTGGTTTTCGAGACTGGGCGATGAATCGGTGAAACAGAGGAGGTTGGCCGAGGAACAGAAGGATGGGAGGTTGGTGGAGAGCGAGTTCTGAGCGGCGAGTTTCGTGAAAGTCGCCGATTCGACGGCGCTCATTGGAGAGGCCTTGTTGAGAAGGAACCAGGGTTTGGGCAAGTCGTTGGAAATCTGTTTTTTCCAGTACCGAATCAGATACGCTTTAGGTGAAAATGGGTTCTCTCCGGTTAACACCGAACCGAAATTCTCTCCGGTTCCGGCCAAACCCACCTACATTGGGAAATTGAAATCCAATTAACACACAAATAATTGGAATGTGTGTGTGTGTACATGAATAAGAACACAACAAAAAAGAAAGAATAAATTGAGATTGGAAATAAAGATGAACCTTACATTGAAAGATGAGAGTAAGTAGAGGTAGAGGAAGATAGGGCTCATATGCTTAAGTTTGTGCATTGTTTTTTAGTGAGAGAGGGGAAGAGGAGTGAGATAAGAATGTTGGTGGGTTGGTTTGGCTGGAGGCAGAAAATTTATACTGATAACTTGTGAGAAACAGGATGTTTGTTTTGAAGGGTAGTTTTGGAATTAATTTATTTAGAAATATAAAAATTGATTACAAATCGAGCACAATTGATTTATAAAAATGTAAGACTTAATTTATTTGAGAAAATTGTGTTCGATTGTGTTTGACTTGTGTTTTTCTAGAGTTTTTCTTTTGAAATTGAAGAGGTTATGAAGCATATTTGCTTTTGTTTATGTTGTTTTTACTGTTGAGATTGCTTTCTATTAGTGTTTGTAAGGGAAGGATCACTGGATTTGCTTTGAATTATTCAACAAAGTCTTGCTCTTTTAAATATGGTAAATTATTTATCTCAAAATAAAAAAAAAAAGAAGTTAAATTATACCATATATTATTTTTTGTGTCTGTTATGAGAGTAATTCTGATATATTGAATTGAATGAATAATACAATAGCAGTAACCTGTATATATAGGCTGATAAGAAACCTAGATAGGTACATAAGAAGATAGAGATACAATGAGATTGAGATAAGTATAGATAGATATATATCTACAATACAAATAGATAAGTATAATAATATACAGCTAACACCCCCCTCAAACTCAAGGTGGTAAGGCAGATATCAACTTGAGCTTGGAGAGGAGATCAGAGAAACGGCCTGGAAGATGAGCTTTGGTGAAGAGGTCGGCAGTCTGATCAACAAAGGTAACACAGAGAAGACGAACAAGGCCACTAGTAATATGCTGGCGTATGAAATGGCAATCAATCTTAATATGCTTGGTGCGATCATGGAAGACATCATTATGTGCAATCTGAATAGCACTCTGATTGTCACAATAAAGATTGGTGGCAGCAGAATGAGAAACTCCCATGTCAGAAAGAAGCCAATGAAGTCACACAAGCTCTTGAGTAGTGTCAGCAAGGGCACAATACTCAACCTCGGTACTAGAACGAGCAACAAGAGTTTATTTCTTGCTATGCCAGGAAATGAGAGAGTTGCCCAAGAAAAAATAGAACCCAGTAGTGGAACGACGGTCAGTAGGATCCCCGGCCCAATAGGCATCAGAAAAAGCATGCAGTTGTAGAGAAGAGTAAGAGGAGTAATGAAGACTATGAAACCGAGTTCCTTTGAGATAGCGCAAAATGCAAACCAGAGCATCATAGTGTGGAGAACGAGGGGCAGCCATGAACTGACTAACAATGTAAACAACATAAGCAATATCTAGACGAGTAACCGTGAGATAGACAAGATTGCCAACTAGTTGACGATATAAAATGGCATCAGTCAATAGGGAACCGTCAAGGGGGGTAAGACGAGTTTGAAGATCAACTGGAGTAGTGGTAGTCTTGCAATCGGTAAGACCAGCTCGAGCCAAGAGATCAGAAGTATACTTGGCCTAGGTAAGAAAATAACCAGAGGAATCTTGGAAAATTTCCAAGCCAAGGAAGTAACTAAGCAAACCCAAATCTTTCATCTCAAATTGGCGATTGAGAAACTGTTTGAGACTAGAAAGACCCACTGTGTCATCTCCAATGATAATCATATCATCCACATAGAGGAGAAGGAGGATTGTACCACGCTCCGTCTTACGTATAAACAAGGCAAAATCATGGGCACTAGAGGAAAAACCAAAGTCACGAATGGTGGAGCTGAATTTGGAAAACCAGGCACACAGAGCTTGTTTCAAACCATACAAAGCACGGCGAAGTTTGCAAACTTTATTTGATGGAACAGAAGAACCAGGAGGAGGTTGCATATAAACTTCCTCAGTGAAGTCACCATTGAGAAATGCATTCTTGACATCCATCTGAAAAAGACTCCAATGGCGAGCAGCAGCAACGACAAGTAAGCTGTGAACTGAGGTAAGACGAGCAACAGGAGCAAACGTTTCCTCATAGTCAATCCCATATTCTTGAGTAAATCCCCGGGCTACAACGCGAGCTTTGTAACGCTCAATGGAACCATCAGAATGAGTTTTGAGCTTGTAAACCCATTTGCAACTAACAGTACTCTTTCCAAGAGGAAGATCAACCACATCCCAGGTATGAGTTTTATCGAAAGCCTGTAATTCATCAATCATAGCTTGTTGCCAAAAAGGGTTAGAACAAGCTTCTTGATAGGAAGTAGGTTCATGGGTGGAAAAGGGAGTGGAACCAACAATATAATCACGGAGAAGAATAGAAGGTTGCCTTATCCCGTGTAGAGTGACGCTCTGGTGGAAGAGGAACCTCAAGGAGAGGTGGAGATGGAGAAACCTCCACAAGAGCTGGAGAAGGCGTAGGACCGTCAGCAAACACAGGATCCTCAGGATGGACGATAGGCGTAGGCGACTGTGGAAGCATAGAGCTAGAATCTGCATCAAATTCATTAGAAAACAAGTCTTTGGCAATATCGGTAAAGGCTGGTGAGTGAGTGGACTGTGGTAGCTGAAACTTGGAAAGTGTGGAGAACACTTTGTCTTCCCAGAAGACCACATGACGGGAAATACGAAGGCCCTTGGAAATAGGATCCCAACAACGATACCTTTTATGTTCTATACCATATCCCAAAAAACAGCAAAGACGAGAATGAGGTTCTAGTTTAGTGTGTTCATGAGGCTGGAGTAGAAAAAAACAAGCAGAACCCAAAACTTTAAGAGTGGTATAGTTAGAAGGAGAACCATACAAGCGCTCATAAAGAGAAGTGTTAGCAATGACAGGTGTAGGGACACGATTTAGGGCGTGAATGGCAGTGAGAGCAGCTTCCTCCCAAAACTTTTCAGGACAAGAAGAGGAGATGAGAAGAGCCCGAGTAGTGTCGAGAATATGACGGTACTTCCGTTCAGCTCGGCCATTTTGTTGGGATGTGCCTGCACAAGATCGATGAGATAGTGTACCATGAGCTCGAAGAAAGGAAAGAAAATCAGAATCCAAGTACTCCTTAGCATTATCAGAACGAAAAATCTTAATAGTACGAGAAAACTGAGTGCGGACCATGGCAGAGAAATCATAATAAATCTGCTTAAGTTCAGAGCGATTTTTTAGAAGAAAAATCCAAGTATAGCGAGAAAAATCATCAACAAAAATCACAAAGTATCTTGACCCCCCATGGTTGGTGTGGGGGAAGGTCCCCAAATATCAGAATGTACAAGATCAAAAGGAGCCGTAGAAATAGAAGTACTTTGATTAAAAGGTAAAGCAGGTTGTTTAGCAATTTGACAAGATAAACAATCGATATCTTCAAGACGGACACGACCTAACTGACCACTAGAAACCAAAGGTTTCAAATGACTAAAAGAGACATGTCCTAAGCGACAATGCCAAAGATGAAAAGAAGACATAGTAGATGCAGCAGTAGAGGAAGCAATGGAAGCAACAGTAGAGGCTTTGTGTGGAATGCGAAAATGTAGAAGCTCGAACAGACGTTCATGCTTACAGCCTATCCCAAGGATCTGTCTTGTCTGAGGGTCCTGCACCAAACAACCATTAGCAGAAAATGTAACGGTTAGACCAAGTTCACATAACTGACCAACAGAGATAAGGTTCAATAGAAGAGTAAGAATGCGATAAGTATCAGAAAGAGACACAGTGGAAGTAGAGATTGGGCCAATGTGACTAACAGACATATGAGAACCATCAGCAGTGTGTATAGGGGGAACGGAAGATGATGATGAGAAAGAAGAAAACATAGTGGCGTTAGAAGTCATATGATTACAGCATGCGGAATCAAAATACCATGAAGAGTTACCTGAGGTCACTGAAAGAGTAGTAGAAGGGCGAGCACCTGGTTGATGATGGACTCAACATCATTCATAGAGAAGGAAAGAGTAGTGGAATCAGTGGAGTGGTGAGTAGAAGAACCCTCAGAGGCAACAGCAGCAGAGCGAGAACTTTGGCCAAAATTGGACTGATACCAAGAATGAGAAGACCTGGTCTTAGATGAAGCAGTAGAAGGAGCTCGAGGACAACTGCTTTGCAGATGACCTGGAGCAGTCTTATGACACGTCAAGCATTCGCGAACCTGGCACTGAACAAGAGAATGATTAGCTGGCAAGCCGCGATTTCGACAATAACTTCATAAACTAGATGGCGGAAGAGATGAAGAACTCTCAGATGATGGCGTTGCAAGAACAGAATCCATGGTTGGAGATTTGAGAATCCCAAAACGAGTCTCCTCTGATAGTAGCTCAGTAATGGCTTGCTTTAAAGTGGGCAAGGGCAAACGATGGAGCAAAGAAGCACGCATGGGCTCAAAAGTGCTATGAAGAGCCATAAAAAACTGCAATAGCCGCTGATGATTCCAATAGGTAATAAATAATTGTGCATCATCAGAATAAGCCCATGGAGGTTCAGAAAGAGCGAGTTGGTCCCAAATAGATGACATTTGGGATAAGAAGTCATTGAGAGATTGACCAGGTGCCTGGCGCATGTGATGAAGAGTTTGCAACAGTTGATACTGATGAGCATGTCCAGTGGTCTGATAACGTTCCTTCAAGAAATCCCAAATCGCTTTGGCAGGAGAGGCAAGGGGAATCACCTTCCTGAAAGCGTCCAAACTGAAGGTGGATGGAAGGAACTGAGGTAGCCTGGAACCATGTGATAATTTGATAATTCCTACTTTCCCATTCGTCAAGACGGTCATCGAATACAGAGTCAAACTCATCCTCCTTCTGGTTAGGTTTAAGAAGAGCACCAGTAATGATCCACCAAAGGCGTTTGCCTTTGATGAAGCTAGAGAGAGCTTGGGCCTAACTAACATAATTGGACCCATCAAGAATAACAGAAACAGATTGGATGTTCTCAGTACGATCCATAATTTCAAAAACGGAGGTCACCAATAGAATTAGAAGGCTGGATCAGAAGGCCAGAAAACCTTAGGGATAGCTAGGGCTGATGTCAGCACTGTGGCTATGATGATGTCAGCAGAGAGACAGTGGCTGAGTAGGGCTGACATCAGCGGCTGATGAGGGCTGACGTCAGCGGTTGAAAATGAAGGGAAATGGCTGAGGAAGCCAGGCGGAAGCCGAGGTAGGGGGCACGTGGTTAGAAG